CTGCAATTCTCAAATTTAGTGCATGCTGTTTGTAAGCATTTTTAAAGTTGTATCACTTGAATATCACATTTCACTCCTCCCCCCCACATTTTAAAATGACTTTCGATTTAGATTTAGTTACTATAAATCACTGCCTGAGGCATTGCTTCATCTGGACAGCAATTTTCCCTTCTTCTATTAAGAAAAACTGGACTGGCAACACTGAAAATGAGTAAGACGTTAGCTGCCTAGTAGTAACAGTCAAAGAATATTCATGTCTTTGAATGCTTTGCACTTCTCTGGTTAAACACACACACACACACACACACACACACACACACACGTCTTTTTGAGATGGAACAGATTTAAACAAGATTCCCCTCCTGCATTCCCCTCTCCCAGATAAGTCAGCTACTGCAGCAGAGTCAACAACTAGGATTTCTTTTGTTTTAGTCTTGTTTAGCACACACAATAAAAGCAAGCTAGTTTTGCCTTCATCTGGTTTCCATTATCAGAAAAAAAAAAAAAAATCTAACTGCAAACACTTTAAGCTCTGCTAAGAAGGGTTTCTAAGCCCAACGGCGTCATTGAAATTATTTCTTCAACACAAGTGTAGTTTACAAAAGAAACTCAGATCATTCTGAAGCACCCGCCTTCATTAATAAAATAAATTAATAAAAATTGAAAAGAAATAAGGAATTTACAATATCAGATTAAAAATCTCTATTTTCCAGACTTCAACAGATGAGCTACCACCTCACATAAGCGTTAAGCCAGCTTCTTCCTCTGCATACAAATTTGGCACTTCCATTTTCACAGAGGAAGTTATTCTCACAAAATAAGGAAACCTCCATACAGGCTGCATTACCAGAACCGTGGAAGGCAACCTAAGCTGGAAGCCAAGACTCAAAAGTTACCCAAGTTGACTTCCACACGCCCTTGGAGAACCAGCCTTCTAGAGGCAATCAGCACCCATGGCATTTAGTTATCCTACACAACGTATGAAATTTATGCTACCCATTGATGGAACTTCTACTTTGACATCAGGTCTTCAAGCACATGCTCAACTACTTGAGATTTCCCTCCTATCACATCGCACTGTCGCATCCAGGTATGTGACCCTGTCAGATAGGATGACACACCAGGAGGGTACACATCCAGCTGACAGCAACAGCTACCTCACAGCTGGCAGCAGGATAGGATGCCCTCTGCTCATGTGCTCGTTGGAGCACTGCTGGTACCGACAGTCGGAAAAACAGACAATGGGGAACAGGCATCTGAAAGAGGTTCAGACTTTATGAAACCATTTGCCACTGAAAAAAATGTATCTACCAAGCAATAGTTCATGTAGACTTGAACATAACTACAAGTCACAGAAAGTGCTTAACTTTGAATCCCCCTTTTTTGTCTACTTCTGAAAGCCTGAAGTTTAAGAGGCTATCATAGCATTGCTACTGCCTCTTCCTGCAGACAGCTTTCTGCATGGCTGAGTCATAACTAACATTACATCATCTTACCCAGGGAGGGGCACAATTTCCGTAGAGTAAGAACTACCTCTTACAACCAGTGCAGCATCTTAAAGTCACAGAAATCAGTGTGATCTGGGACACACATACTGTGTGGTGGAGGGCTGGAGGAGAAAACCCCAAACCAAACCTCACCCACTTCAGACTCAAATAAATACTGCATATAAGGGAATAGTTATGAGAAGTTAACACAAGATTTCAGAATGTCTCCAAATATATGGAAATACAGTTACTAGTGCTAATATCAAAGAATTGATATATTAGAGAAAAAGAAGAGTTAGACAGTTTCCAAATCTTGCCCTTCAGAAATGCTGTAGGACACCACAGCTTTAATTAAAGGCCAGATAGAGGCAGCCTTAACAGGACCCAGGGCCATTCACCCTGCAACTCTAAGTTAAAACAGATCAACAGTTTCATTATTTCTCACCAGCACATCATTGCAGATGTCTCTTAGCTCAGTCTCAATTTTCTCTCTGTATTCTCGAGCCATCTGCTGCTTTTTCTCAGCGCCTTCCGTCTTTTGTTCGATACTTGAGACGACTCTCCAAGATGACCTGCGGGCTCCTACAACATTTTTATAGGCAACAGAGAGAAGATTCCTCTCTTCGTTGGACAGCTCGGCTCCTTGCTCGGTCACAGACTTCATGCAACTCGCCATGTCATCATATCTTTCAGCCTGCTCAGCCAGTTTGGCCTTTTGCACTAGCTCATTTTTATCCATGCTGATATTTCTAAAGAGGAAAAATAGTGAGGCATTATTAAGACATTGGTTAAGGACAAAAATGTTTCAACTTCTCATGCAGAGCAGCCATCCTCTAAGTAGCCTGGAATTATAAGAAGTACAGCTGAAATCTGGAATGCAAGGCACATAAGCACTCAAACACACAAACAGAAAACTTAAAGTCATTGCTTCTTTCTAAAAAAAAAAAAAAAAAAAAAAAAAGAATTGTTAAATGGTTTAAGTTATTTCTGAAATGCAAGCAAAAGCATCTAAAGAAACTGGAAGCAAATAATTCCTATCTTAAGTGTGCACACGATCCCAGTTCTTTGCCATCACTCTCTCTTAAGAACGCATTCAAGCTGTGGCATCAACTGCACCTAATTACAAATGCAACTAAATTGATAAAGAAAACAGCCAACGGTATCTTTGTCACAAGGACAAAAAGGCGGCTAGGCAAGCAGTACCACGCAGCTCTGTTCCTTAACAGAATCTTACCACTCCATCCAGAAAGGACTGGAAGAGGGATCTGCCAATCAAACCCCACATCCAATGCTCTCAAGTCAGAGCAGCGCAGATCCCTAAGCGAAGGACCGCACCTCCAGCAGTGTGAGCCTCCCTTCTCTAGCTGGGCTATGCTGGCCTTCTGACCCAGATATTTTTCAGAGACAAAAAGAAGTTTTTGCAGTTAGGAAGAAATATTACGTCGATGTCAGTATTTTGCTAGCACGAGCTGGTGGGGATGCTTCGTAACCCAGATCCAGTCAAGGCTTGGTCTGCTCGTAGAGACCCCGGTGCCTGGTTAAGGGGGCAGGGAGAACGGTCCTTCCCTGCCCCCCCCGCCCCCTTTTATGTGCCTAGCACAGACCCCTCCGAGGCCCTGGCAACATGTTTCGGGATCTATCATCCTTCAAAGCTCACCTCAGTTCGGTCAGGATGCTTCATGCTTTCCCACACACAACACAAAACCCCGCACCTTACCCGGTAGCCTTTTGTCATTTTTACACCAAGAAACCACGGTCAACGGCCGCGCTACTTCCCACAGACGGCAAAAAACGAGCGCGTTTCAGCCGTTCGGTCACCCGGCGCTTCCGGCAGCCCCTTCCCCAGCAGCGGGGCGGGAGCCCGGAGCGTCTCTCAGCGACCCGCCCAGCGCTCAGGAGCCATTTTAAGGAGCGCCAAGGCCCGCGCTGCCGCGGGCGGCCCGCCGCCGAGCACCGGGTCTGCGGGAGAGCCGCGCGCCGCCGTAAGATGGAGCCGCGGGCGGCGGGGAGGGCGGAGGGCGGCGGGCGGCCCCCGCCTCAGGGCGGCCCCTCCTCTCCTCTTCTCTCGTCTCCCCTCCCCGCGCCGCGCCCGCCGCATCCGCCCGCCGCCGAGCGCCGCGCCCGCGCCTTTGTCATGGCGGCCGGGCGCCGCAGCCCTGCCCACCTCCGTGCGCCTTAATCCCGCTCACCTCCGCCCAGCGCCGGGGGCGGCGGAGCAGCGGCAGGAGGAGGATGCCGCCTTCCCGTCCAGAGCGCGGGGCGAACCGCGGGCCCGGCTCCGGAGCGGCGACGGGAAGGGAGGCGGGAGGGGGGGGGGGGGGGGGGGCGCGAGCTGTACCCCCCGGGGCCCCGCTGAAGGCCCCCGCGCTGCTCCGCAGCCACACCCCGCGGCCCCCGCCCCTCCGAACCGAGCCGGTCGTCTCCCCTCCGCGTCGCCCCGGCCGCCCTCACCTGCCGCCGCCGCCGCCCCTCGCCGCGAGCCCCCCCGCCCCGCTCCCTCCCCGCCGGGGGCCGCCCAAAAAGAAGGGCAGGGGCTCGGCGCTGCCGGCCTGTCGGCAGCCTCGCCTCGGCCCGGGTATCGGAGCAGCGGGCGGACGCGGGCCCCGTTACCTACGCGAGGCGGGAGCGAGGCGCGGTGTCTCGGAGCGGGCGGCCGGCGCGGACTGTGCCTATCTCGCGGCTCGCTGCGCTGCAGCCTCTTTCCCAGCGCCACACACGGCGTCTCCGCCAATCACCGCGCCGCTACCGCACGGGCAGCGCACCGCCCGTGACGTCAAGCGGCGCCATGGCAACGGCGAGGGCGCGAGCACGAGCCCGCGCCTCCCCCGGCTCACGGCGCTCAGGGCGGAGGCCGAGCCCGATCCCGGGCCCGCCGCGGCCCCGCCCGCGGGAACGCGCGTCTCCCATCCCCCGCCGCCCCCCCGCCGCTTCCCCCGCCGTGGGTCCGCGCCCCGCCCCTCAGCCCCGGCCGCCGTCACTCCGCCAGCGCGGGGAGAGCCGCCCGGCCCGGAGCTGTCCCCGGGGCTGCGGCGCGTGTGTGGGCGTTCCCCCCTCCCCTCCGAGCCCCACGTTTCCTTCCCTCTCTGTGCCGCCTTTGTGTTTCCCACCCGGCCCGAGGTTTGCGCGAGTCGCGAAGTCGCAACGTGCTCGCCGCGGCCCTGCCGTGCCCGGAGCGCAGGGACAGATCCCGCCGGGCTGGGCTGCCCTGGGGCCTGCGGCGCGCGGACGCCGAGGGGGAGGAGGAGGGGTGTTGGAATGCTGAACGCTGCCCGTGCTGGACACGCTTTTTTATTTTTTATCGAGGTGCTGGAAGTCCGCGTTCGCTCGGCTGCTTCGTCCTGAGCGCCGTGCCCTCGGCCCTCACCGCCTTCCCTCGGGGCTGCGGGACGAGCCGTGCCGCACACACCGCTAGCAGTAACGCCGCGCTCCGGCCACGGCTCGGAGAGGTGGCTGTACAGGGAGCGGCACGGGGTGCGAGGCCGGCAGGCCGCGGGGCTGCGGGGAGAGCCTCCCCGTCTGCGGGGGTCGGGGATGTTTCCCCTTAGAGATCCGCACTGAAGCCGCCACGGAGCAGAACCATCTCCGCTGGAAGAGGGAAATTCCCTCTCGTGGACTCCCTCCAGGCTCCCATATTTATGGAGATTCCAGCGAGCACTCCACCCTACTCCTTCTCAGTGCAAGAGCTGACACGGAACCTCACACGGCGGTCACGTGGGCGAGTGCCGCATCTCAGCTGTGGAGCAGGGACTGGAAAACGGCAGCCGCGGCTCTCCCCGCTGCCCCTGCCTGGCTCACAGGCGTGTGTTTCACTGGTCACGGCAACAACCGGTGCGGGACAGACGTGTGTTTGTGTAGGCAGAGTCCTCAAAATGTCTTGGTAGGACAGCGTGTGGGAATTGCATAGGAGGAGCGAGGTGATTCTCGGAAAGCAAGAGGAAGTTGTGAGCATGCTTGTGTTCTCGACAAGTAACTGGACAGGGCTGGGCTGGAGCACTACTAGAGCACAGTGTGTGCGGGTTCCCTGCCTGCGGTTGGCACTCCGCTCCTTTGCCTCTGTACCGGTGGAGTTCTGCAGACCGAAAGTATGACCAAGTGGCCAGGATGGGGATTTTATTTCTGAATCTTAAAAACAACAGTTCTGCGTTTTGGCTAAATGTCAGATAAGGCTCTATATTAAGCTCTGCTTTACACAGTTGATTTCTTAAGAGTAGGACTTTCACTTACCTTTAAAACTGTGCAATATAAAGAGCTGTTACGTTTATACAGTGAAGTTTTACCTATAGCACTGGTTTATGGCTTCTTATTGCCCTTTCTTGCGGCCTAAGATACACTCTGAGGTTTGTTACAGCAACGTCTGTTATCTTAGATGCTGATTTAACACTGGGGTGTTTTTTTTGTTTGTTTTTCCCCCCCTCCCCCCTTTCTCAACCGTTCTGGTGTGTTCCATCTACTCCAACATTTAAAGAATTTCACTCACTTTCACTTGGAACGTTTCGGGGATGTTTGAGAAAGGAGCTGAAAAAAGCAATGTTCAGAATGGTATTGAGTAGAGCAGGGCTCACAAGAATTTGCTGCCTGGGACAGGAGAGGAGATCGCTGATCTGAGCATGAAGGAGAATATAACCTTCATTTTTAATCTCCCTGGGGATACTTTGTTGCAATATGCAGATACAGAGGAGTTCGTTTTTGTAACAAGTGTGGTAAAGCTCAGGTTTGCCGTGTATTCCAATACACAGTGCTTCTCCATCGTATCTGTTTTTATTTTTTATCATTATTGCCTTGGGAAGCAATAGGAGAGCTTGGGAGCTGTACATGAACACAGATGGTATGATAGCACAGTGTTTGCTGCAACTTGCTTCAAGTTATGTTTGAGAGTTCATTTTTAACACAAGCTTTAAACCTTTATTTTGTAGAAAATTCTCTTTGAAATGGCAACCACCCAAATATAGAATATACACTTTCAGAGGTACTTGAATGTTTTGTGGTAACACGATAAAAAAATTAAGTGGCACTGGGAAAATAATAATTCTTGGAAGCGCATAAAAAATTCTTGCAGGAGTGTATGTCAGATGAAGCATAGGTAAACATCTCTTTTTGGTATCTCCAGGAGGTGTAGGAGAACCCCCTGTGAAGCAGGCTGCGGCACTGGAGGCAGCGTTAGTATTTTTGCAGAAGGCAAACATCGGCCTTTCCATTCACTTTGTTCCATTATTTCTGGTTTTGGAGTGAATAGAACATTGCCCGCAACACCCCTAATAGCCACTAAGCATAGTTTTGTTTGCTAACAGCCCCATGCGTCGATAGGCTCTGCACTCATTCACCTTCAAGTGGGCTATTTTTGCCAAACACCATTTCCACTTCTCTGGTTTTCACTAACGCTGCCATTTGAAAGCGACCCAAGGAATTAGGCATTACTCACCTTTGCATATGCCGCCTCTTGAACAGATATTCTCCTGCTGTCTGCTATTCTTGTATTTCCTGCACTTTACCCCTGGTGTGGAATGCTAGTTTTTGTCTTCTTGCTGCCGTTTTGACCAAGGAATTCAGCCTCTTAAAAAGAAACGCTTTAAGCAGTTTCCCTTTTCTTCAGCAGCATTTTCTGTGCTGCCTTCCACGCAGCTCTTTGTTCGGTGACTTGCACTTTCACTATCTCAGGCTGTCAGGCATACTTGTCAGCAGCTGGGAGCTTGAACTCATTTGTGGAGTTAGACACATTAGCATATAAAAGTATGTATATGCATGCTTATTTACAGCACTTCTCACTTTACTTTCTTCTTACATGAGAGAAAGAAATGGAGTGGGGAAAAAATGAAAACAGCCCCAGATCTTTCCTTCTCCCTGGAAGAAGTGTTCAGTTCTTTCTTCTTCCCTGTCATCATTTTTCCCTGGAAGTGTTTAGTCATTCTCCTCCGTGCTTAACTGTATCTGATTAAGAGCGGACGAGTAGCAAGGGAGGGTTATCCACTCAGTAGAGCGGGGATTTTGGCGGAGGTTACCCTCACCGCAGCCAGGAAGTCGGCTGGAATAACTCCTACAAGTTGCTGGGCTGGGAGGCACGGTGCTGCTGGATCTGGTGCAAGGAGGCAGCTGCTGCTGCTGGAGAAAATGGAGATGTTCTGACTGACTGTTTTTTTCCTTGGAACGGGGACATGAGCAAAGGCAGCCTAGCAAAGGGCACTTCTCTGGAGACTGAGAGATGATCCTGCAAATCTATGGCC